TATAAATATGCGCAGATGTGTCAGTCTCTCTACATAATTACTCAGTGTGAGTCCTTGACAATGGACATTGTAGTCCTGTGTTATGCTACTGCTACTATCAAAAGTAATTTGGAGTRATCCTGGCCCAGTTGGTTGAGCTATAATGTGACTTCATGACTGATGCAGGATTGTATAGTGGGCTCTGGACTCTTTGCAGTCATGGGATGCATGTTTGCATGTATTAAATAAAAATGGTAACATTCAGTGAGTGCTTTAGGTTTGTGCATTTGCCTTACAATGCTTTAATTGCACAGGGTGGAAAAATTACCAAGTGAATTCTAACTTGTGCTCTCTGGCATCTCCTAGTAACATGACCTAGATATTTTTGCACCTGCCGACTTAGTTTCTTTGAGTCCTGCCTTCACATTAAGCTTTAGAAAACGTATGCTGGTGTGCAGTGATCTAGTTCAGCAAAGAAAAAARGAAGCAGTTCATAAATACTGCAAACTGAAGGGCCAGGCTGGCCTACAAATGTTCCATTTAAAAATGCTTTTGTGTTCCTTGTAAATTATAAGGCTTTCATTAAATGTTTTGAAAAAGGAAGGAAAGCTTTTGGGTCATTTTGTGCATGATTTCCTGGAGTGTAATGATTGAAAAATGGAAACAGAACATTTAAGGATTTAAGAGTCTACGTGCTGTGATATGGAAAAGTAGAGATTTGACTCTGGTTCTGAGCAGCAAGGAACAGCTTTGGTGTGGCTTCTGAAGGAAATTCTCCATCTATAAGACCATTGCTTAGTAAAATGGAAAATGTTCTCTGTTTTTATCTGAGATATCCAACAGTTAATGTTTCTTAAGCAAGTTTTAAATGTAAACGTTTCAGGTAACATGTTTTTCWGTCATCCAGTTAGCATAGATTATTAGGTGAGTGTTAATCAGCCCACTTAGGTGAGTGTTAATGAGACCACTGAGTCATGCTGACAGCTTGCTGTTTCCGAAGGGATTTGAATGCCATCCTCTTCTTTTTTTTATCCCTGATTTCCATTATTCTCTTCTTTGTGCCTGTTCACATAGCCTTTGGTAACACAGCCATTGATAAGTCAGTTTTTCCCACTAATCAGTGAGCAAAATAATTCCTTTTTTTCCTTCCCTGCCAGTTCAGGGAACTGACCTGAGTCATCTTCAGCTTACACAATGAAAGAAGGAAGTGGAATGAAGTGSCAGGAAAGGCAGCATATGACCATCTCTTTCACTGCTGCTAAGCTTTTAGATTGCCTCAATTACCTTGTGAAGCCTCATCCTTTGGATTCAGTTATGGGGTTGCTGGCTATCCTCAGAAGTTATTGTCAAATTCAAAGGTGCTCATCACTTGGGAAAAAAGTAATGAAATAGGCATTGTTACAGTTTTACTGGCAGTTCTTGAAGTTTCTTACCTGTTTGATTTTCTGTGACTTTTACAGAAGCRTTTTTAATCTCCATTTACTTGTCTCCTCTTTTCATTGATGCTTTTCCTTATRAACGCTTAACAAAMTTTTKCAGTATTTTTTCATTTGCTTCAGGTTTTGTTCTCAGATCCTGAAAAATTAATCAAAACTGGATTTCTTCTGCAGTTGCAATAACTTAACCTGTAGAAAGGTTGGTGTTACAGCTAGGGTGAATTAACCCTTAGGTGCTTCTGAAAGTGTTATTTCATCCCTTCTCTGGCAGTATGTTCTGCCTTATACAGTTTTGATGTGTGACTGATGAGATGAACAAAAGCTGTGGTTTTAAGTTCAGCTGGCGCAATGTCAGCCTGCTCCCTGCAGGGTAAAATGAACACCTGTCTTGGCCTAAGAATGGAGAGCCATCAACAAACAGCCAAAAGACTGTTCACAAGACTGTTGAAAGGTAGAAACTGGGCATCTGTTCTAGCAGTARTTCTTCATTAGGTTGGTACAAGATACAGCTGTAACATCAAGAAGGCAAATATCTTGCTGCTTTTGCTTAAACTTGTGTGTAGGATGATTATCACAATGTTTCCATCCATAGGATGCTTCCTTCTTCCCTCATTAAGAGTTCTAATAACCTTTTATTAACAAAAGTTTGTATTACTAGTGTTTTGTCTGTGTTTGCCTCAAATATTTTTATGTTAACCTTGTCACAAATGTTTGTTTGAATACAGTAGTATGTTAGCTATCCAGAACTTCAGTTGTCATCTCTAAACACTCTGTTCTTCGTAACAAGAAGCTGCAGTTCTGTTTGCTCTGCTTTTTAAGTTTGCAAGGGCTAGAATTCCACTTTTTCTCAGCATGGGTAGTTTTGCATTTCTCAGTGAAATTAGATCTTAATTTTGCTGCCAGCATTGTCCAMGTCAAGTAGAGATGTTAGATAGAGCTTCCTTGACAAAATTATTGGTTATTCAATTGCCAGGCATCTGTAATGCTGGAGATGAACCTTAAGACATTGTGTTACTTCTTCATTAATGCTTATTAAGTCATGTCTTTTTCCAAGGAAGAGGATATAGCTCCAGATTTAATAGGTTTTATAATTCTTAACAGCATTAGAAGTTTCTGCTTAGCATGTGCCTCTTCATTCTGCCAGGGCTGTCAGTTTTCTCCTGCATTAATAACAAAGCAGAGAAGCTCATGAGCTGTAAGGCTGTTATCTTTAAATTGCATTTACATATTTGTATTTTGCTGCGTAGAATAATGTCTTACTTTTTAATATACCCTTTTGTGACACGTGTCACATGCCTTTCTGTTTTATGACTAAGAAATATGAGGCCAAATTTATATATCATCAGATTCATGTAAACCTTTTAACATGTCTCTTTTTTCATTAGAGTTGATTCCAGTGTAATACTGTGGTAGTGTTTTTCATATCTGGCCTTTTTGGTCCATTTCTCCCTTATAAACATCTTAGGTAGTTAGCTTTACAATGATTAGTAGGGTATTTATTGAGAAAGCAGAGCCTTTCAGTTCACCAGGAAAATTTGAAGATAGAAGTTGAAGAGGACAGACAAGTAGGTTAAAAACACCAAATCAGTCTTTAGTAAGGAGTGTGTGTATATATAGGAATGTGTGTTTATAGATAGAGGGGTTGTGTGTATGTGTGTGATTTCATTTGTCTGCATTTGTCTGAATCCACCAAATTGATGTCTGCATATACCTAAATGTTGTTTCATGGCTGGAAACTAAGCTTTATGTCAATATAATCTGTTTCCTCTTCTGTCAGCACAGAAGAGAATGAATCTGTATATACAGAATTCATCTTCCAAGACATGTAATGTATTGTTTCAGCAATAGGGTACAAAAGTACCCTAGGATTMTGCTCTTTAAAATGGCTCTGTAGCTTTGTTTCTTTTTGTTGTTGTTTGCTTATGTGTTTGTATGTATGAATGAATTTAAATGAACTAGAGTGTTTATCAGAATATGAGGGCTCATTCAGAAGCACAGATTTAAGGACAAGCACTTTTGAAATGCTATGTAAATTTGTTTTGGGAGTACACCTGTAGTGTGCTGAGAAAAGGTAGTATCACCTGCCCAGAGTGTTTAGTTCTTGGTATTCTTAGCAGTACTCAATCAAAGTATTTTGAAGCCTTATCCAAAGAAAGTTTAGTAACTTCACCTTGAATAGCCCCGTTAGAATTTGAAACAGATTTATGACAGAAGCATGTGGTCCAAACAGCTGTCATGCAAAACCATTTAAAAAAAACGCYTAAAGTCCAGTGAAGTCAGAAATCTGTTGTGTATGTTGTTTTGACTTTTTTTTTAATGAAGATAATACTAAATACATATTTCAAGGAAAACCTCTAATGCAGGTCTTTACCATAAATCCATAGCTAAAATAAACTGGTTTACTTGGTCAGATGTGCCTATTTAACACAGGGCTTAAAGAATTTCAGATTTATAGCTCGCCTTTCCTGTGGAATTACAAATAGTTTGATTAGTACGTCAGTGGAGGCATAAAAGTCACAGAAAACAAACCAGGATTTGGACACAGATCAGAGAGTGAAAGACAGAGTCAGCATGAATGCATCTGTCTTATGATCTTGGATTTGATTGAAAAAACCTTGAAGTTGTGTCAGCGTAATCTCTCCAAAGTAAARTTAGGAAATGCATGTTTCTTTCCTGGCAATAGCTCTGTTTCCATTATCCAGCTTACTGGGACATGGAGGGTGGATCCAGACTGCTTGGGGAAAAGCAGAGTAAACGGTTCCTTSTGCTGCATTTCCCCCATGTTGGGGACACTTGTGTCTGATCCACCCTGGCCTTTTCCTATCTCATGAACAAGTTCTCTCAGGGAGATAAAGGGAAAGGGTTTCACACAGTAAAAAGGAGATGGTGCCTGTAGTGCAAAGGGTGACCGAGCATTCAGATTACATCTACCAACTTTTATACCATGTGTTTAAATTTTAACATTTGAAAAATGTTTGATGTGAATGATTTTGGTAYTTTGAATGATTTTGTATGCCAGTGTCAACTCCAAGTGGAAAAATAGGTGGTCTAGAATGAAGAATATCTTGAGTGAAGYAATAAAAGGAAGTGGGAAGGTATAAATATTTCATGTTCCATAATGGATGAATAAAATGATAGTAGGCATAAGTCAAAGGTGTGATCATGGCAGATGAAAATGAAAGAACCTCGGAAATTCCAATTTTGAGTAGAAGATGCATTGAAAGAAAAAAACCCCATTGTTTTGAGAAAATCAAATACAACTGAGTTGCTAATGCTCCATGTGACAATGGATAAATTCCTGCTTGCCGGTCTGACTGCACAATTTGTCACAATAAGGCTGTTAGTTTAACTGGAACTCACCTCAGCCATGCTTTGATTTCTTTTAAAACTATAAGGTTTCATTAAAGWACTCCCTTTTTTCTTTTTTATTTTTTGTTACTTTTCTAAATAAGAACTTCTCTGTGGCCACTTTGCAAATGCCAGTTAAATCATGAGTTTTAATATAGTATTCAGAGAACATTTTTTCGAATAAACAGCATTCTATTAATTGTTTTCCATTTTTTTTTCTTCTGCCTCTCATTTCAGAACGGTTTGATCACCACTGTCCCTGGGTAGGCAACTGTGTGGGGAAAAGAAACTACAGATTTTTTTATATGTTTATTTTATCTCTGTCCTTTCTGACAGTCTTTATATTTGCATTCGTTATCACCCACGTCATCCTTCGTAAGTATGCTGGTGAAATCAGATTACGTATGTAGCCATTTGCTTGAGTTTTTTAAGTTAATGTTTTGATCATTCAGGGTTTATTTATTTATTTATTTGTTTATTTGCCTTTTCTCCAAAGCTTCACAATCCCCAGAGTCCCATTCTGGTCTATAATAGGTCCTGCTCAGTCATTGGCCTGGCACTGGCTTTGCCTTAATGCGGTCTTAATTTTTTTTAATTTTTTTTGTCCTTTTATGGATGATTTATTGGAAAAGCATCACACATACTGTATGTCTAAGTATACAGGTAGTGTCATTTACCTAAAGAACTTCTGTGTGCTTCTTTAACTGTAAGCATGGGTCACTTGCTATCCAAAGAGGTGAATTACTAGATAATAGATTTGAGCTATACTTTTTGTAGTTTGCTGTTTAGTTTTACACCATTCTTAACCCTATTTTTAACTCATTATTTTCATTTTCATAGACATTCTGAGAATAACCAATTCATGATTGAGTGAATCAGAAATATTCATGGGGTTGAGAGTGATTTTTATTTATATTCTGGATTGTGTTTGASGTCAAAATACTTTCTGGGTACTGTCTTCTCTTTCCGTACCCCTAACTAATTTTGCTGACTCCTRTATGATGTTGATAGTGACATATATGGTGATATAACTTATCTTATAAGGTTATATAACTTGTCTYTAAAGACCATTTGTATGTTGTATTTTTTTAACCCACTATTACTAGAAGAKTGGGGTTTTTTCACTAATTATATAGGATATTGCTTTAAAGAGTGTTTCTTTAACCATTTTGGAAATGCGATCTGTTTATTTCTTTGTATTCTGTATTACAACAGAAGCCAGATACAAATAATAATTTCAGTATATTACACATTTATAMAGCTAACTTGGTAATGGTAATATTCAGAGAATGTTTTACTGGAAAAAAATATGTGAGATTGGGCTCAATTTCATAAATTGTTTGCTACTTTCAGAGAAAAGTTATATATTTTGAATAGCAGAATTCCTACTCTTATTTGTACTTAAAACTGTGATGCAAGCACTGGGAGACTCTCCTATAGCTCAGAAATCTAGTTCACAGGCTAGAATTGAGGTACCTAMTTTTGAGGGAGTACCAGACACAGCATTTCTAATACCAAATGATAAAAGCTGAGGCRTGCATATTGTTTTATAAAGGGAAATTACGGGCAAAAGAGCACTTGTCATTGATGCTTAAATTCTTGTTCTTTGTCTGGGCATACATGAGCATATGCATACGCATCTTTTACATTTAAGAAGAAAGATATGCGATTTCTCCAGTCTTACTTTGCTTGAGTTCAATAGTTGAAAACCTTCCTAGTCTGACAACATAAARCTATTTTTGACACTAACATACCTTCATTTCACAAGGACTGCAGTGCTTTTCTTTTTGCTTTTCAGTATAGGAATTATCAATATAATGCCAATATTTCATGTTCTGTATGTCAAGTAGGTGTATCTTAGTGGATTTTAACTTCAGAGTGTCTGTACCTAACTCTTAAGTATGATTTAGACAAAGACCAGGGTAATTAATTGTGCCTCTGTGTTTTGAGAAGCACTTAAGCATTGTGTAGGTGTTATAGATTATGTACAGATTATGTGAACTTTAAATGCTGAATGGTCTATCAGCTGCAAGCATTCTTGCTATCCAGGTTAATCTACCTAGAATGAGACAGGGAAAATCATCCTCAAGCTCTAAGGATTGGTCAATCCTCAAAGGCAATGGGAGCAGGTATAAGTGGGATTAGTTCATTGATGTTACACTGGAGCTTCAAGCTCAGTTTGTCTGTTACAGTCTTGACAGTGTCCAAAAAATGTTTTTACTCTGAATCTTTGCACCTGGCATAGACTGCTTTTTGTAAGCATGGTTGAAGAAAGTCTCAATTTTTAGACCTGAGACTATGACTTTCCTACAATATCTCAAAGTCATACATATGTATTTCCATAATTCCTGGGAAAATTATTTTATTTTAATGCCTCTTGATTTAGACAAATATTTAAAATTTGTATATTTTTATAACACATCTTGCAACTCGGCATTTATAAATTTTCGTGGGCCTAAGTGATGATGAGATAGAAGATACATCTTGTTTCCTGTGGCCTTCCAAGGCATACATTGGAAATTAAAGCTCTTTCTATGTTTAAGAATATATGCACATAACATTATTGAAGATAATAAAACTCATTTGTAAATCAGTTACTAAAGGTATTGTCTTAAAAGATTTTCTTCCATCTCACCACGTTGAACACACTTCCAGTACTAGTATCTGTCTTTGCAGTTACTCATCTCTGTTTGAGGCATCAATATTTCAACAGTTTGTTGCAGGGAGCAGCCTTCCCCTTCTGATTTTTGGGAACTGCTTGGAAGAGTGTGACCAGCAATAGGGTATAGAAATCACACCTACCTGCTGCCATTGCCATTAAGGATCCTAAAATTAGTAAGAAGGTAGGAGAAGTTCCATGAGTCTTGTGTCTTGAGGCTAAGAACCAATTACAAGAGTCTGAAAAGGCTCAGAAATACGAGGTAAGTAATTTCCTGTTTGTAATGATAAGCAGTAAAATTGACCAGATAGGTCTAGAGAATAATGCATATATTTCTTTATTGTTATCAAGACAAGATTCTTCTCTCCATACACATCTTCAGATGAATTCAGCTAAGTGAAAATTTTGGCTGTGGGGAAAACTTTCAGCCTGATACATTTAAATCATTTATGTTATACAACAAAGTTCAAACTGTGTGCCTGTAGCTATGTCACATTAAGCCAGTTTCTACAACAAATTCACTTGTTGCAATCAGCAAATTGTCAAATCACCCTTTTTGATTAATACCTCATAGTTATGGAACTCAAGCGCTTCTGTACTCTGCATGCTTCTGCATTTCTAATTGATGGGATCATGCTTCTTTCGAGCTCTTTTCAACATGTAGATTGTCTTTTATTTGCCCAKAGGCAACAGTTACCTATTAGAAAAATCCTCTGTGCAGGTGCAGTAGGAGCAGAATTATAATCAAGAGAGCTTTGCTTCCAAAAAAAAGGATGGAAATTTGAGAATCTGTTTATAKAATAAATTTTCCAAGTCAAAAAGTTACTTTGAAAAATAGTATTTCAAATTGAAACAGGAGGTTATAATTTTTTGTTTCCATATTAGGTCTGRAAAAAAAGGGTTAATCAGAAATCTTGTTCATGGGGAAGTCTGTGTCCATCAATTTGGTATGACTRAGAAAATAATCCTGCAAATGCTAAACCTGGTAACTTAATCAAAGGTTTTTTTGATGTTGTTGCTGCTGAGCAAYGTATTCTCAGATTCATATTAGTAAATCTATTCTATGGTTATTTGGTTATCTTCACATATTAATTGTTTTAATTATAGTGAAAACAGCCTGTAATCCAGTTTCATGCTTGGCTGGTAATTTTGGGTTCTATTTCTACAGGTTCTCAACAAACAGGGTTCCTCAATGCTCTGAAGGACAGTCCTGCAAGATATCCTTTYACTGAAACATGTAGATTTTGTTGCAAAATAACATCTGAGATGTGATTTTGCTGTTTTTTTGCTATTGCTGAATGTCTGCTTTTAGACTTTATCAGTTAATGATTTCGTCACTTCCTGCATAATAGGATTTCTTGCCACATGTTGGAGGTAGGAAAGGTAGCCTGGAATGGGTTTTATTCTTCATGTTTTGCAGAGCAATACTCTTGACAAAGATCTGTAGTGACCACGTCCATGAAATATGCTTCGTATTTTWTGATGGAATTCACAAATACATTTTACACTATACCCATGCTGTTGTTTCAGTAAAAGTATTCAAGAACTGTTCTGCTTTTACAACCAAAAGTATCCAAAATGGCTGATTTTTTTCAGAATGGAAAAAGTAGCTTTTGAAACAACAGAAACCACATGCTGGCCTTGAAGAATTCAACTCCTTAAACTATTCTTACGTTTTTAGAGAAGTAATTTTTAAATACCAGCTTGTGTTAAGTTACATAGTAGCATGCAACTTGCATACACAGGGACTACTSTTGTTGTTCAGMCTGGAGAAGATGAGACTCYAGGGMGATTTCATTGTGGTCTGYCAGTATATAAAGAGGGCTCATAAGAAAAACAGAATTCTTAACAGGGCTTGTAGTGACAGAGCAAAAGACAATGGTTTTAAGCTGAAAGAGAACAGGTACAGACTGGCCGCGACAAAGATTCTGCAAAGAGGGTGGTGAGACACGTGAACAGRTTACCCAGAGATTTGGTTGATGCCCCATGAAGTGTTCASAGCCAGACTGAATGGGGCTCTGAGCAGCCTGGTCTAGTGGAAGTTGTCCYTGCCCATGGTAGAGGGGTCAGAAYTGTATTAAGTTCCTGTAAAGTCCCRTCCAACCCAAGCCATCCTGTGGTTCTATTCTGTAAATCCATGTACTTTTTATCACTTCATGTGAGCGTTCTGTATATTTTCTCCTCCRTGAGAAAGGAAAGCAGCTAAGATAATTGAAAAATGGGAAGCTGAGAAAACAACTGGTTACAAAACTCTGAAGTTTCTGTACACACTGTAAGCTTCCTTATGTGTATGTTTTGAATGGTGYCTGTCTGAATAGTTTTCACCTCTCACAGAGACACTGTAAAAAGAGTTCTTTCCCATTTGTCCATTGTGCCTTTGCTTTTCTACACAAGGGYAAGAAGAAAAACTGTCGTTCATAGTTGTGCATAGAGACCTCTTTTGAGAGGTGAAAATTATTGAGATAATTTTCTCAAGTGTCAAATTCTGCAGATACTTTTTTTTGTGTGCTTGGATTSATCAGATCAGAATCACTGAGCTGTAAACTTCCTTTTTAAACAAAGTCATGTTCAGATTTTTTGTACAAATAATTTTTAAAAGTGCAAACAAACTGTTCTAAATAGCACAACAATAGCTTCCAAGTAAAACAATTGCAATCAGTTCTTACAAAAGATAATTCTTTCAAAGTATTTTCAAACTGAAAAAAGATTTCAGTTATCCTTAAATCAAAAGGTAATTGYTTATGCATTTGAGGATTTTTGTACAGGATAGATAATTCATAAATTGTGCTCAGAGATGTGCTGCTTTAAAAGGCTCAGTGGCACATCTTGCAGAAATGCCTGACTTGATAGTGATATGTTGGGCAATTTAAGAGCTTGGTTACAATAAATAACAATAAAAAATTTAATTGTCCAAATAGTATTGGGAATGCTGCTTTGGAGCCAGTCAATTCAGGCACAGAGAGCATTGTCATTTCAATCTTGCTGACAGCCCTGTGTGAGATACCAAGGGAAAATTAGACTAAATTATACTAGTAAGGTAATATACTAGAAGGTTATACTTTGTTGAGAATATATTGRTTTTTTGCATTTATTTTTTAATTAATGGGCTCAGATTGAATTAATGGATTCTTCTTAATTTAATRTAAACTACCCCTGCTGTTCTCAAGTTCTTTTTGGATCATGGTATGGGGAACTAAAAAATGTCCCTTCCTGTGGGAGACTGAAAGAAGTCTTGAACTGAAAGAAATGCCCTTTATTTTTCATTAAGAATTAATGTGTGGAGGGAGAAACTCACTTTTCAGTACCCTTTTGAGTGTGACTGTGGTGAGGAACAGGCATTTAGTGATATGTTCAGGTTGCAGGGATCCCTTTTCCCTCTACGGTTCTTTATTTCTGACCTGGTGAATCTTCCTCCTGGTGTGTAGATTCTACCCAACAGTGCAATTCATCTGCAACCTTCCTTGCTATTTCTACTCTCAAAGCCGAGTTTGTATCATACATGATGTTTTGGGCTGTTTCCTTCTTTTATGCARTTCAGAACCCTCTGTCTTCTGCCAACAGTCTTCTTCCTTATCCATCCTCCCTCGTACTCCTCACTTTAGCTGTGGCTGTTGCACAGTCAGCTGAGTCAGAATTCCTGTCTTGTGTTGGTTTGACTTCAYGCAGCCTGAGGAGATGAGAGGCAGAGTAGTGAATGTGCTGCTCAGCAGTGCGCCTTGGTCATTCCACTGCTTTTGGAGCAGATTTGCTCAGAATGGCCCTTTTSTGGCTTTAAACCACTCTGAAATAGGTTCTAGGGAAAATTACACAGACACTTCAGGTATCTCCCAATTCATTAGGGGTGAGCAACCCCTAATGAAATAAAATACAAAACCTTTCAATTTCAACTAATGTTAGGATTTTTTTTATTGCAAATATTTATGTCCATCCATGCCTTTTCCAGTTTGTGTTTCAGTGTTATGGTGAGGAACTATCATATTTCTTTTCTATTGATAGAAGAGATAGCRATATTCCGTGATAAGGGTGTTTTTCTGTGTTTTAAGGCTGTGTCCTTGTTCTGGAAAATTTTGAGTTGACGTTGTCTTGGAAACTGACTTCACTAAAGGTTGATATGGTTAATATACAGATTATTTTTATCCTATTCTTTTCTCATCTTGTTCCTAGTTAGGAATTTTATTTATTTTTCTAGGAATGAAAGCCTTTTCTTCTGTTGATTCGTTTTCCATTTAAAGAAAAAAACCACCCAAAATTATTGAAGTGTTGTAGAAAATAGAAATCCTCAAAGCAGATATGTTCTGAGTTCATGGCTATTTCGTGTAGATAAATAATTAAAAGCTATAGAAGGAAGCCTTCTGTAGAAAGTTTGGAAAGTTCCTCTTTATGCTTGATTATATAAAGTTTAGAAGCAACTTCATTGTGTTATTTCTGAGACGATGACTCCTTTAGATTTAAAGGAATTATATAAACTGTAGTAAGTATGTGGTGTTGAATGCTGACTGATTCTCCTGGTAGACCAACCCGTGCCTGTGCACACCTTTGCTGCTCCCTTGGAAGTAAAGGTGCTCTTGCTGGACGTGTCCCTGTGGTGCTCCCTGTAAGGGCAGGTGAGAGCACCCCATGAACTCCCATCCATGTATCTCAGGTGCCCAGCCCGTACTGACAGTCTCCTGGCTGGATGCAGACTCCTGACCGTGTTTGACAGGGCTGATGCTGTGTCTGGGCTAGGCAGATGCCAGCAGAGTTGCTTGTGGCTGTACCAAACCGAGTTCTGTCTGCTGCTGCTCCCACTTGTGTGGGAATAGAAGTTTTCTGCCATTTTTTGTGATTTGCTTAATTCAGGCTGATGCCTGAGTTAAAAATATATTTGTAATTCTTCAGGGAGTGTTTTAATAGCCACAGTGAGTTGGGAGTTAATATTCTTCCTCTTTAAGTTTTGGGCAAAACTGCTGCATTTTGAGTTTTCAACCCCAACCTGACTATTACAGGCTTAACAGCAGTTTATTTTCCAGGTGATTTGCCAAGGCTGGGCCATTCAGGCACCCCCACAGTTGTGAAGTAGAATATATCCAGTTAATAGAGGGACTTAAGAGAGCAAGTGGATTTTATTTGGTACTAGTGCACTTCATGCTAATGTTAAGTGAAGATGCTGGTAAGCATCCTAAGTGACAGAAGAAAGTAGTCYGGCATKTAGAATGAAAGACTGGCATCCAGTTACTCAGTCATTGTTGCTGTATGTATGTGCACATGCACTAGGATATAGACCTCTTAATCCTTGAGACTCACATTGTGGAGTAAATATCTGTAAAAACATCTCTGTTCAGTTTTTGGCATTCAGCTAGSTTTGGGTTACCTTTCTTGTGTTTGATYTTACCCTCACCYCACCAGAACTGTTATTTACTGTTAYTTATCAATTGACCTGTCTGAATAAAAGTGTGATGACTTCTACAAGATAAATATGAAAATTAGAATTCCAGCAAGTAAGATCAGAACTCATCCGTAGTTTCAAGCGTTTTTGAATCTGCAAAACTTTCAATATTTGCTGGTGTAGATGCTGTTCAGTGRTCCGTACAATAAAGCCTACTGACAGTAGGTTTGCTTTTGAGCTTATTTTTAACTGACCCCTTTAAAATACCCCAGAGATCTCAAAGGACTTGTGGACTACCCTGAATTTTGTGATTTTAAGTAATTGCTATTGGGTTTTTTTTTCTATTTGCATATCTTTCCTTGACTTTCAATTACTGTGCTGGAAGCAGTGGTGTGTTTTTTCTCAGTATGGTCCATTGTTGGCCTCTCAGGTTTTCATACATATTTGATCAGCTCCAATCAAACAACAAATGAAGATGTAAGTTTGTAGTATATTTCTACATATGTATTTTTAAATAGTAATGAGGAGGGTTTTCTCAAGTCAGACTTAACTGCATTATTTTGTGAATACTTCAGTAAGATGGAAGGAAAGGAATATGGTCATGCTTGATTCAAAAGATCAGACTAAGTCTTCTTGACTATATTTGTTGAAGGCTCGAAGATGTGCTCATTATATACATGGTATGTCCATTGTGGTTTACTCATATGGGATCTCTACCTTGAAATAGGAAAATACAGGAGAGAGGAGACAAGTATATTTTATACTGTAGGAAATTAATAAATACTTTTCATTATCTCCTTTCCACTAGGAGTCGTAAATATTCTTTGACTCAAAAGTTGCTTACTGCCAAACTTGAAAAGTGTTTTGGATTCTCCAGACAAAATTTTCATCCTTGATTTTGTCTTACCTCTGAAACTTTTTTGCTATTCAGAGGTCCAAAAGCTCTGGCAAGAAGTATATCATTAATTTAAAGGGCAACTTCCTCATTTTTGCAGTTGTCTGTTTTGCAYATAGGATCAGTATAATTGCTGTGGAATTATGCTTAACTGTGTGTGGAGTCTTCATGTGTCCTTCCCTAACTAAAAGGAGAAATGTAAAATGAATGAAAGGAGAAAATAAAATTAGCTAGGGAGCTAATGGTATAGAAAGCTTTTGGAAATTAATAAGTGATCTAACAAAATACTGCAAGCTTTAAATTATTTTATTGTAATTTCCTATTGTACCTTTTTCATAGMTATCTGGCAGATACAAAAGAAGCGTCTTTAGCATTGTCAAATATGTTTTGTTATTAAGGTCACAGCTAAAATTATAAATTTTACAGTAAATATCAATCAACCAGAAAAACACTTCCCAAGCAGGATCAAAATGAATTGTGCCTAAGCATCAAGTGTCACAGCAGGTAGCCTGACTTGGAAGAAATCTGCCTTGTTAATAAGACAGATGACATGCTCTTATTYCTTGGTTATTAGTTTTCTGCCAAAATTATCTGTCTAGATGGACTTAGTGTACTTMCACCCACTTTGCTCAAATAAATGTCTCTTTTGGACTGTTGAAAGATAGATAGCAGGGAACTGCAGCAGTGGAACATGTCTGAATATCAAGTAAACTGTTCAGTAATTTAATTTAAAACATAAATTCCCAATTGAATACMGCAAGACATTTTACTCAGGCTCTCAAGAATCTCACAAAAGGAAAGCAGAGTAGCTAAGGGAGAATGTAATATGCAGTAAAAGAGAGCAGTGGCTGCATTTGCTTTACAATATTTTAGAACCATTTGTGAACTTTAAGGAAGATAATGTTGTGTGATATTGCACAGCTTGAAAACTTACCCAAGAGTATGGAAAAGAAGTGCTCCATTGCAGGCTTTAATATTACGTTGCAATTGAGCCTTTTCTGTAAAACATGCTATAATGTTTGTAAAATTGAACTTAGACCATTATGTTTAGATGTTGAAATTCCTGCTTTGAGTATATTGATCCCTTGAGATTGTGGGCTGTCTACATCTGTGGAGGTAAAGCATGTGCTTATTTAAAAGGTCCAGCTTTCTGAACAGCCCAAAGCTCTTAAGTTGTTTGGAAAGTGTCATTATGAGTTTTCTGTGGTCTCTTCTGCAAGTAGCATRTTTGTCTCAGCCATTTTCTGTATTGTATCATATGTGATGCATATTGTTCATATCTCTTCAGATTAAAGGATCATGGTCAAATAAAAGAGGTAAAGAAAACTATAATCCCTACAGTTAYGGCAACATCTTTACTAATTGCTGTGCTGCACTCTGTGGGCCCCTCTCTCCAAGGTAAGAGTATCAAAAGTATTGTGAGCGTGAATGAAGTCATGTGATTGTTGGTGAAAAAATTACTCTTTCTGATTTTTTGAGTTTACTCAACAAAATGAAAGTTTTGGATTAGTGTCCTATCATAAGCTTTAATTAAGCTTTTCTTTAGTGTTAAAGTGATAAGTTGGTAAATTGTGGTTAAACTAAGTTAGTGATCAAAATCTGTAAAATTACATCTGAAATGAAAATAAGCTTGTTTATTTGTTGTCTGAACTTTTGCTGCTGCAGTTAATAGCTTATAGCAGTAAAAGATTTCTTCAGTAAGCAGTAAGTAGTATAAGTACTGCTTATAGCAGTAAGATTTCTTCTTTAGTTAGCTGTTGTATGAAGGGCAACCTGGAAGTCTATGAAACTCTTACGTATCTAACAAATGTGACATGAGTTGAGGAGAGTTTAGGAAATTTGAATCTACAATTAGCTTCATAATTGTTCATTTTTGTATTTTCACTCTGAAATGTTTTATTTAAATGGACAGTATTTWTTTTTTAATTTAATACTTTTAACATATATACATAAAGCTGATTTTGATGGTCTTACATCAAAGCAATTCCAAAGAGTGCATAATACATTAAGTTTGGCTGAATACGTTTTCACTTTTGAATTCTAAAATATTTGTGTATTAAAAGTTGGAGATACTTGTTCAGCTCRAAGAAAATGTTGTACAGAGCTGAGACTGGAGAAATAAAACTGGTGGCTGTAAAGACTTAATTCTTTTCATAGTCCAGTGCTCAGTGATTAGACAGTTCATGTACTGCATATACAGTAGAGGCCCAGTTKCACTGCAGAGAGAGGCAGACAACTTGTAGATACTTTTGTGGCTTCCTCATTGGTTGGTATGTTTTGCTTTGCTTGGAAATGCATAGTTATGGATCTGAACAATCAAGAAAGAAAGTAAATTAYTTTATGAACCAGTGGCTCAGGTGTTTAATTGGAGTGGGATTTCTGGCTTTGCTGTCAGGGATATCAGATATGGTTCTATGAGCAGTCAAARTTCAACAAAACCAGGAGAGACTGACATCTTCTCCTAAAGAGGAAACAACAGAATAGAGATTCTCTCACACTGGGTTACCACTGATGAGAGTGAAGAGCCCTCTCTCTGCTTCCTGCATGTATGGATGTTGTCTGAATCCAACTTTTTAATTCTGCCATTTTGCTTTCGATAAATGTATGTGACATAAACGCTCAAGGACACACCTCCAATTCTTTTAACTTCAAATGGAAATCTTTGTTAAGATTACATCATGTTTCTCAGTATGTGAAATAGAATATTAGGCTGATAAAAGTAGCAAGCACACAACTGGACCATACTGGCATTGGCTCCTGTGTTTCAGCAGAGTTCTACTTTTTTTCCTAAATTCCATGGAGCAACATTACTTATTTAGACATTTACATATATATAGAGAGGTTCTACACGAAGGTATTTTGTGATCAAGGAGAAAGATTTACTGACTGTAACATATAAATTATAACCTTGCTTCTTTTAATCTCAGCTGTGTCCCAAGACACTCAATTTTTTTTTTTCATTAAATGCTGGAGAAGTGGCTTACCAGCAATTTTAGCTTAAAGTTCAAAATATTCAAGTGCCTTTGGGACTGGAATGCYGATGATGAGAAGATCTGTAAATAATCAAAACTTTTCTCAGTTCTTTTGAAGATAATTTATTATTTTTAAATCTATGCCAGCAAGTTCAGATTGTATTTTACATGCCCTCAACAGTTACTGTCAAATCTTAGTTTGATCCACGGYTGTCAGCATAGGTCTAACCAATATTCTGATAAAACAAATCACTTCTTTAAGCATCTTTCATCTTTAACTAGGTTGGATTATTTCGTTCTGTTTAAATTTTTTATAATCTTATGTAGATTTTTAATTGCTTTTAGTAATTTCTTAAAAAATTCTTCAATTTCTTCAAAATTACAAAGTGTTTGTTTTAAAAAAAACAAAGCATTTTCTTAGAAATAAGAAATTTTATTTAATGCATCACTTCAGTAAGCACATTGGAACACTAAGCAGTGTTAAGTAGCTGTTGTGAAACACCTGGCAAGTTAAGTTGTCTTTYAGAAAGAAAGATGAACTTTCCTTCATTCTTGCTAAATTTTGTGATGTAGTTTCAATTTACATGTGAAAGCTGGTAAAAAACAAGGACCTTTAAAAGAGATACTGAATCAAAGTGCGTTAATGAGTTTTGTAATTTGTTTTTTCACCTGTGGTTTGAAATTCTTTGGTTTAGTGGCATTTGCTGGTGAGCTTCTAAGTCTATGGTCATTGATAAAAATCAAAAAAGTAGCGGAACATATGGTTACATGAGAGGCAGTACCACAAGGAACAAGCACCTTACTGCTGAGTAGAAAATAAAGTCTAGCACTTAAGTTGACTARAGGGACATTAGAAGGTATTGGTAAGGTAGGAACATMTGTTGTATGATAGATGKTTTTTTTTTCTTTKTATTGAGAAGAGATAGTTACTGATCAGCAATGTCTCTAACACTTTTCTCTTATTGTGATTATTCTGTAGCTTAATTGACAGAAGAGGATTTATACAGCCAGACACACCGCAATTAGCAGGACCATCAAATGGCATTACCATGTATGGGGCCACACAATCTCAGAGCAACATGGTAGGAATCATCCCATAGTGTTGTTCATCAAGATTCCTGTGAATGTTTTTCTTCTCACTTTCATGTGAACTAATCAAGTAATAACTAACTGGATACAGCGACACACTGGGTGGAATGAGTTCTTTAATAACAGTAAAGAAAAAAAAACAAATCCAAGGCTCTTTTTAATGTACGTTTCACACAGTGTAATAGTTATTGCTCATGGATTCTAAAGAAAAGAGGCTTTTCTACAGTATTGATTTACTGAATATACTGGCATTTTGACTTTTACTGTTGACACCTATTGTGTTTTGAACTGGAATATTCAAGTATCATGGACTTGCTCTGGCTCGTCATTTTCCAGCTAATTGTTATTTTGTGTGGCACTTTCTTCATATTCTATTTCCTTCTTTGCTTGTACACTGCAGTTTTGCATAATGTATTTTAAAAACCAGAGATGAACAAAGAGGAGTTTCTAGGGGAGAATTATTTTGAAGAAAGAGCAGGAGGACACTGAACTTGAACAAAAAATGTCAACTGGATTGTTACAACAAAAGCTTTGTAAACATCTTTGAAACTGTGCCAATAGTATTTACTTTGGTTTTTTTGCTAGTAGCATTGGCTATCATAGTGGAAGATAGGATTTCCAGTGCTAACAAGAAGAGAATAACTGGAAAGAGATCTTTTTCTGAAGATCTTGCAACCATCTTGCATATGTGCCTATTCCTGAATTGTTGTCCACATATCCTTAAAGTATGTGGGTTCTAAAACTTTATCAAAGAAGTCATGAGATACGGACACCCTCCCTCTGCCAAAAAAGAGGAAGCCATGAAGCCTTCTGACATAATTCAGCCTTTCTTTTGAAAAGAAGAAAAGATTCACTCTTCCCARACAGATTAGTTTTAGTGTCACTGATAAACCCGTATAAGAATTTTTATCTAGTTCCTAAGATGGTTTTACTTAATGTTTTGAGGATTAAATAGATTTGTTAGTCTYCTTAATCAGAAAATGTATTAGAGACACGGTATTAAGTCTGAATTTTCTGAGGTGTATTTGAGCAGAACAAGGTAATGCTCTATGCAAATTTTACTCAAAATACTATAAGTCTGAAGAGAGAAAAGGGGTTAAAAAAAAAAAGGCAAGAAAAGGCAAACATTASAAATGGGCTGAGGTCTTTCAGGGATTGCCCAAACTTTCTGACTCTGTCAAGGCTTCTTAYTTGTGAACATCATAAACCCACAATGTGTCCATAGCATTAAATTACGTTGTTGTTGTTAGAATTTAGACATTGTCATTGTTCCTAGATACTAATGAAAAACTTTTTGTCAGTTTCATARAAAATTGACTAAATATGYCTCTAGAAGWAGAGAARTCTGTKAYGGTATTACTTWAAGTCAAACAGGTAGCTGTTATGATTTTAGAGTGGAATACCTCTAATAACACAAATTTTGAAAAGATTTCTGCTTACATCCTAGAACACCACACCACATGAGCTGGGAAAAGGCTGGTTTCTTTAGCAGTTACCAGAGTCACTTGGAGATGTGCAGGTTTCACTCCTGGAAATGCCCTCTTAGAAGAAGCTTGAAAAATGATACATGTCTTGTTTGGTTTGGAGGAATACCTTTTAAGACTGTAATGCCATTTTTTCTCAGGGCCTCTTTTCTCTTGGTCTGTGTCCAAGACCATTGGTTTCTAGTGGCCACTAGCTATCAGCAGTAAAATTTCTCCCTTGAGTTTTTTTGCAAGCCGTTAAAGACCTGCTTAGTTTACCAGTCTCTCGAATACTATTTTCGTTTCCCCATTGAAGGGGATGTATCTGATACTGCAGCCTTTATCATTACAGTTTTAGATATGGACAGACAAAGTGAAATTCCTTGACTTAAAGGAGCATGTGTAGATCATAGCTATAGACCATAGTAATTTTCAAATGGCAGAGGTTTAGCCATTAATACATCATCAGAGATATTTCTACGATTTTAGCAAGCTTAATGCTTTTAGTTACAAGAAATAAATTATTAGCAGTCTAAAGTATGCTTCAGTACACCTTTGTGATATGTCTCTGTCAATTTTATTCCAGAATGCATTACATCAAGTCTTTATGTCTAGATGTTACACTGCTTAATCYACAAAGTGTGCTAAAATGTCTCTCCTCACCGTTGATATAAAATAAAAATGTTACTGAGCATATTCTCTCACACTTGTCTTCTCTTTTTCTTTCCCTTTTTCTTTGCCTTCCCTCAGATCTTTTACAGAATCAGCTAGGTTGAAAAAGACCTTTGAGATYGAGTYCARCCTATGACCTAACACCACCATGTCAACTAGACCATGGCACTAAGTGCCACATCCAGTCTTTTCTCARACACATCTCGGGACAGTGACGCCACCTACCTGGGCTRTCCATTCCAGTGTAGAATCACCCCTKCTGTGAAGAACTTCTTCCCAATYTAAACTTCCSCTGGCGCAGCTTAAGACTGTGTCCTCATGTCCCTTTGCTGCTTGCTTGGGGGAAGAGACCAACCCTCACCTGGCTAAAACCTCCTTTCAGGGAGCAGTAGAGAGTGATAAGATCTCCCCTAAACCTTCTCTTCTTCAGGCTAAACAACCCAGCTCCCTCAGCAGCTCCTTAGAGGACTCAGTGACTTGTGGTTTTCTAAATAGAATTCTTGTGCCTCACCCAACAAATCTCTTGTCCCTCCTGAAATCTCTGTGGGTTACTTAGTATAATATTGTTTTAATTTATTTTACTAAATCTTTCAGCATAGCATCATTTTTGCAATTAAGTTCAAATAAATGTCAGGCTACGTGTGAAGTTACCAGACACTGGTTTCAAGTGCARTGGAGTGGTAAGAGTGATAAGAGTGGTATCTCTTATCCAGGATGCCATTTGTGGGGCATTCTTTTTGTATTTAACAGCTTTTGTGGTAATTTTGCCTCTGAGACTTAGAATATTTCATGCATGATCTACCATACTCATGGTAGTGACCGAGTTTKTCACARTCTCAGAAAGTCAAAGTCGTTGCTATAATCAGTGCAAGATAGATCCATACTGTGATTTACGGAAGATGTTTTTTTCATGTACTTTCCATCATATCTACCTTCTTTTAATAAAAGCTGAAGCTRTATTTACTTCTATGAAGGCTGGAAGCAAATACAATTATTTTCCTGGTGCATTCCCAGTGTTTTTAATTTCTATTCCWATATAATTTGAAATTTGGTAAATTCATTAGCCAACTTCTTAATATCCTTGTCTACATGAAAAGCATGATCACTTGGAGCTCATAATCTGTAGATCTGGTTATTTCCAAAGTTTTTCCCTATTGCATTTCATTGCTGTTAATTTTTATGAGCTTGTCGTTAGTTTCATTGCCCAAGTATTTCTCATATTCTTAAGAGTTTTTTTTTTGTATGAAGCACAGTATCTCACCCATTATGAAATAATAATTTTCTCTCTAATTTATTCRTTCTCTTTCATTTTAAAATTTATTTTCTTTGGTTCTGAAAAAATTTCTTACTTTACCATAAACCCATCAATTACCACTACTTGGGTCTGTGCTACTGTAGGACTTAATTTTGCCTTAAAAGTTGGAGTTAATTCTTGAGGTTCATTACAGGATGTTTTATTCTTTAGTAATGCATTTGGAGGAAACATGGAATCTATCTCTTCATGAAGTTTTTTTAGAGGAATTAGTTCTGTTTATATTTACTATGATGTCTCTAGGAATTCTCCAATGCCTTATAAAGTCATAAATTTTGCTTCTATCTGACTCTCTGTCAGGACTGTTTAATTCCTTGTTTTTAAAAAATCTGCTTGTATTCCTGCATTCCTAAACATCTCTTCTTCAGTTTAATGCTAGTTCTTTGTGTACCACATTCCCTTGTTTCTAGTTCTCAATTTTCTTTCCTGGATGCAAATTCTTTAAAGTGTTTGCTTACATATATGTACTACTGAAAATTGTAGGAACTGTAGTTCATGAGCAACRTTTGTTACCAGTGATAAGTGCAGGAAAGTCCTCTCCCCCACATTCACTTAAGTATTTCTGTTATTGATCTGGAAATAGATCCAGCTGACCCAGGGAACATTAACTCTGATCATCCTGGTGTACTTCTTGCCTTTGCTTTTCATATTTTCATTATTAGGAATATTTCTATCATGACAGTAACAGGATCAGCAAGGACCACTGCCCCATTTTGCTGGGAGTTTTGCAAGTGTGTTTTCTTTACTGATGCACTTCCCAGATGCCCAGAACATAACTTAGGGTTCTTACCAAGGCAACRTTACTACAGTCAAGGTTGGTAGAGGTTTTTTCATTTACACATTTTACTTCACAGTTAAAATGGGTTAAGGGCACATGCAAGTAAATCAATTCCAGCATTTTGYTTTGGGTTGAGATATGTTTTAGGAGCAATTCTTTTGGTAGTGCATGTTACATGCAWTTTTATTCACATCCCAGAGCAGTGTTGGAGTACATGACCTAGATTTATTTTAGAACTTACACCCCTGGAATGCATCSAAGTTGCTCTAAGCATTCACAGACTTCCAGTCCCTAAGAACAAACTAAAGTGTCCAATCTGAAGTAAAATCTSTGGGCTTCAGAAGTGTTTCCCTTCATAGATCTACTCCTCAAGCTCTGTACTACTTGATAGTGGAGCCATTCACTCGKTGGGTTTTGTGCCTCAGTTGTTGTACAATATCCACAATACGTTGATTTTGGTTGTGAAATCCGACACCTGTTGGGAACAGTTACACAGCTCCATTCCTCCAATCTTTACCCATCTATTGTGTCCAAAATATGGTATTTCAGCATCCTTCCTGTGACTTCACAGCACTGTAAGCCTCCTCTGAACTTCTTGTTGTTGGTACTTTATTCAGAGATTCTGAGACTATTTAACCTGTTTTTCACTATCTTCTGAGAACTGTAACAATTCTTGAATGTTGCTAGCATTTAGGAAATTTTAAACAAAGTTTTTTTTTTAATATTTAAAGTGAAACATTCTGATTATTTTGAAATAATCACATTTAGAAATGTGAAAAATATATTGCTATGTACAACGATGTTATCATGTATTTTCTGTTTAGCTTAGAAAAAACAGATTTTTTTCAAAAAAAAGATAAATATCTTTCTTTAGTTGTTTGTATTTATTATTTGTGAAATAAACACAGAATTCTAGGTTTTGTCTAATTTGCTTTAATTTGTGCCTTTTTATGTGGAAATAAATAGATATCTAAAAATTCCTGTGCATATATTTAGTTGAACTTCTGCACTAGTRGAACTTAYTAAACGTACCTTCAGAATCTGCTGTTTCTTTAAAACAGTGGAAATTTTAAGTGGAAAATAATATCAACAGATTTGAAGTAAGAAGTTACTGGGGGAATAATTTTTACAGTAGATTTTTAGTTATTTAGATTTCAATCCTTAACTTCCTTTTGTTCCATTTATAGGCTTTTTTGTTTCATTTGAAATTCTCAKGTTGGATAATTCATGTGATTAGTAGCAGCTAAGATTTCCTGCCTGAAATTTCATGCAGTCAAGAGTGAAATAATGGAATCAAGGAAAAACCACCACGCTAACCCTATGAACAGCTCTGATTTCCTAGTTTTGTGTTGGCTGATGGACTCAAGAATAGTCTACCTGCGTATTGTGTTGTTTTTATCTGATGTTTTTGAGAGCCTCATAGAATACACTTTCTGGCTTAGACYCTGCACTAATTCGCTTTTTTTACAGCCTCTATTTTCCTAAAGATGTAGTGTTGATTGCTGTTAAACAGATGAGAAACAGAAAGCCTGAAATTTACCTAAATGAAAGGAGAGGCTTTAGGGAAGTGAAAAGTGCATGGAAAATGAAGAAAAGATATACAGCACCTGAAGAAGCTTATAACACTATTTAATGGAGTTTTATGAGGCTACTTTATTTTTTCGATATTGTTTTAATTGAAATGCAGTAGAGTTCTGTAGGAGGAAAATTAATTCAGACTATACAATGAGTTCAAGTAAATTGCCTTCAGCCTATATAAAGCTGTGTACTTGTATTGSCTGGAACACATTAATTATTTCCTTTTGAAGATCAGAGCTGAAAGCTCACTAAAGCAATAAGTCAGCTGCTAACGTTTGTTTTCAGTGTACCCCAGTGGTTATAGGCATTCCTTTTTTATTTAACTTGTTCTTTGGCTAGTGCCATTCAGAGAAAATAGGTTTTTTTGGTCTTTTTGAAGTTTGAAAATTCAGTTAAAATATTTTTAACATCTGCATAGTAAGGCTGGTTGAAGTTTTAATTGAAMTAATCAGGCGTGAATAACAGATTATTAAATGAGTTATTCACACTGAATTACTAATTGAAAGCTTGGCTTTAAAAGATGCTGACAGTTTTCTTCTTAGTAAGGTACTTAAGCAAGGTTATGGCTTTAAGCCTGTGAGTAATGCCTCTGAAATGATGGGGAGCCACTTCAATCATTTGGCTGGGGCTTTTCTTCGTTTTGTGGGGGGAAAATTTCTTGCAATTTATAGGARCTCAATTTGTGTAACAGGAGATCAGTCTGTTTATCTTTCTGAAAGCAGAAGTCTTGGAAATACATAACTGAGTAAGGATGGAACTTCTGCCTGTCAAAAAATAAATGGTCTGGGAGTCCTAAACCACTGAGACATGTTTTAAACTCTGCCTATCTATTATGACCRAGTAGTCTGCTTGCACACTTGCTGAATGTAAGGTGTGTGCATCCATCATTACACTAGTCAGTGGTGAAATTGGAGAACCTGTAAATATCACAGGAAGTATTGTTAGTCATGATTCTCATCATGCACTAAAGGAGGCAGAAGTCTTCTATGAGTTTTGAGAGGGCATGTCACAGTGGCTTATTACAGTCAAATGGGYATTTTGGGGAATTCCTGTAATGTTAGTAACAGTGGTTATGATCAGGAATCTCTGAACAGCTGTTGGATTTGTAATATGTAATAAYTTGATATAAATCTAAGATGTCAGTCATAAAGYAGAACATAYTGCTTTAACAATACTTGAGATAACMATAGTGAATAAGCATGTCTTACCTCTGGATATATCTTTTATTCTGCTTGCCTGCCTCCAAATGTCCTTCATTGCATTTGTAGTTGTATTCACTGATTGTAGTGTTTTTCTTACCCAGCAGAACAGTACTATGAATCTAATCTAACAGTACAAATGAATCTAATAAGATTTCCAGAAATTGGTGTGTTACAACTGAGCAGACTATGAATTAAGCTTTTTTTTTTCTTAGAAGCTCTCAAAAATCATGCCAATTCACGTTAAAGAAACTTAATTTGGCAGTAGGTATATTACCCACTTAGCTAGGTGGACATTATTGAAACACATACTTGTCAKCTCAAGGACTGAGTGGTTATTTCCTGTGAACAATTCTTAGGAATGGTGTAGAGCCAAAAAAAAGCATTTCTTGTAACATTCACTGAGCTTAATTGGATTTATATGATACTGAATTTGGCTTGTTCTTAAGACAGTGCTTGCCAGAAAACTTGTTTTGTGCCTTRGTTCTTCACTTTGTCAGGATTAATCACGAAACAGCCCAAAAATCATTAAAGTTGATCTCAGTGCATCTGCAGTGCTGYCTGATTTCTACATATCCTCTAGAGTGTGGAGTATAGTGTATGATATTTTCTAGAATATATATATATATAATGTATTAAATTGTGAGGGGACAAAATTTTTACTCATAGAGGTTTTATTATTAACTGTATCTTTAAAATATAGATCATMTCTGTCAAAGGAATTCTTGTTCTGGAGAACTTCTTTGATAGTTGAATTCATACATGTGAAGACCAGTTAAAAGAAGACAATCGCCTAGTGTTTTTTAACTTAAAGAACCTTTAAATGAACACTGTAAATGTGTATAATGTTTTACTTTGATAATAATCCAAAGCATTGGCTCAGTTATGCATGCCTTTTTTTTTTCCTGGGCAGCATGCAATGGGATTTTTGGGTGGCTAACCATGGAATGATACTAATGTCTTTCTTTTTTTCTCTTCACATCCCATTCTTTTCCATACCTTTTTATCCATATTCTTCCTTTTTTTTTCTCTGTTTTGTTTGCCTTATATGATTTTGACACCCTTCCATTCTACAGTGTGACCAAGATCAGTGCATTCAGAGCACTAAATTCGTTTTGCAGGCTGCTGCCACCCCCCTCCTACAGAGTGAGCCGAGCATAACTAGCGAAGAGCTCCCTTTACCAGGAAAGACTTCTCTCAGTGGGCCTTGTGCAACTCTAACTCTAGGGCAACCAACACCACCATCTTCTATGCCAAATCTCACATCAGATTCAGGTTTGACTGACATCATACCATTAAAAGAGGAGCACGAAGGCCATCAGTTTCTCACTCCTGAAGAAGCTCCATCACCCCCTGGGATGCTGCCAAGYGGAAGTCCTATTACACACAGCCATACAATGCACGTCCTGAGTCTAGCCAGCCAGGACTCATTGCATGAAGACTCAGTGCGTGGTCTCGTGAAGCTTAGCTCAGTTTGAACAGCTTTTTTGAACATCACACCATTTCCTGGTGTCTATACAAATCCATACTTAACGGGAATGACGCTGCAGTACCAGTGTAAGGCTTCGTAACATGSCTGTAATGGAAACTTTATTGCATAATGGAGTCTACTAAAAAGACAAGGATTTTTTTTTTCAGTGGAGCTATGGCATTTTTTTGACCWGGTTGTTAATGGTTGTGCTTTGATGGTGACTGCATTTTATTTTWAAATAAAACCAGAAAAGGTCAATAATCTTGTTTCCTGAAGCTTGGGTACAACGAGTTGGAAGACAGCCTGTAACAAACACCATGTACAGTACAAAAGAGAGATTCTTGGATGTAAGTGTCATGCTCTGTGTTCTATGCTCTTGTAATACACACTTGTTACGGCTTAACACACCTGTGGCCAGAATGATCTGCACTTACWTGTTATGCTACCAATATTTGAGATAGAAAATTACCATTCCATTTGTTAATACAAAACAAAACAAAAAAAAAAAAAGACTGCAGATGTGGATTTGCATGCCACGCTACAGTATGTGTTACAGTGGTGTTGGTATTAAAAGAAAGTGCTGCTTTTTTATTTGTGACTTTGAAAGTGCTGTTTCCTTTAAAGACAGTACAACAAACAAATTAATGGACTATATTTTTTCAATTTATTAAATTTTATTTTAAATTAATCAGTGGTGCCTAGAAGATGATGAATTACTGATTTGATCATATTGCATATCATTTAACCTTCTGTTTAAGTGTTTAAGTGAGGTATTGTGTTGTGCCATACCACAAGATTCTTCCACTCCCTAATGTGATACAATTACCTGTGGACCTCCAATAAAATGACATCCTCTATTTCGTGGACATGTGTACAGTTATCCTTGCACAGTTTTCATGGGAAAAGGGGGGGAAATCATGGCCTGTTGATTTTACTGGAGTAAAAAAATTTGTAAAGATTTTACTGGAGTATGTGCACATGATGAAACTAGAGCTATGGAGAAATAGCTAGTTACAATTAGGATTGCTTCACCAGTTCTTATGGCTTTGTTTGAGATGTGTAAATTGTTCCCATAGGAGGTCTTTATTTGGAAACAGTAGAATTAACCTCTGCTTGCGCTGTAATTCAGTGTTCCTTATCCTATGGCTGAAGGGTGAGGGACATAAGACTCAAGGTGAAGGAGAAGACTGAAGGGTGAGGGACAAAGACAGGGGTTAGTGAAGTAATCTTAAATGATTAATAGTCTGTAGCTGTTTCCCAGCCATCATTCTTCATTTGTATTTGTTCTTTGGTATTTTAAATGGAAATCTTGATTTCATAGAATTCTTCTGTCTGTTTGTTTAAGTAAAGCACAACTAAAAGGTTAAAGAGAATTTTATAAATATTTTTTGTGACAGCCAAAGAGAACCTTAGTTAAGCTGGAAAAGTGTAATAGCTTTAATACTGTATTTCCCTGCTTTTCAGGATGTGGAACCTGGATTTTTCTTTTCCTAGGACAAACTTAAGTGCAGAATGTGCTTTATCTGATGTTTAATGGCATGAAAGTATTCTTCACCAGTTAAGAAATGTAACGGTTCTCTACTGTTGACCATGGTCATTCACTGACTCCAAGCTAAAAATCTTTTTTCTTTTAATTTTTGTTGTTGAAATTGAGAATAATCAGCCTGCAGAAAATYAGTCACCYATGCTATTGAAGATTCARACAAGATCCTTAAAAAACCCCTACYCCTGTAAGATTSCATAAGCAGTCWGTTTCTAKAATTGATGATGTTAGCTTGGACCYARTTCTGTGTRTAGARCATACCAATGCTTTCTGTCTTTAAGTGCCATMATGGGTCCACCAAAGAACCTCTGGCAGACAAATCTGTCCCAGTTATTTGAGCCCCTGAAGAAGCTCTGGCAAACAAGTCTGTCCCAGCTATTGTAACCACCTTCCCAGCATTTTCCATAAGCTGGGACAATCTAAAGTCCTTTCCCCCAGTCAAAGTGTAGTGACTGGCATGTCCCAGATGGCTGATCTCCCAATAAGCCGTGAGTTTGAGCACTTCTGTGTCTGCTCTTGAAGAAGTCAGTGATGCTCATCTTCATGATTTCATCTTTCCCCGATGTGGCTTGAAGGTATGAAGCTGTGAACATCTGCATTAAAGCTGGCAGTRGATTGAGGGCTGGAGATGCTGGTCTGATAGACCTGGGTAAATAATTCCAGCTTGGAGTTGGTACACCAGTACTTGGTGAATCATTCTCTAATAGGTGTCTGTGGGTAGTTAACTGTGCATGCATTACTCACTACTTAGAAGGGCAAGTCAAATATTTTTAATGTGGTATCAAAACTTTCCATTTGTACAAGTCATGATGAGGATGATTATTTTAAGGAAATTGTTCTTTTTAAGTCTCCCTGAAATAGTTCATGGATTTTATGTTTCCAAGAATACCAACTTCGTGACAACATTTGTATGTCATTGCCACTAGGGAGTAGTGAAGAAGGCTCTGTACACAATAAAATTAGTGTCAGTTTTAACATGAAAGGGAAGGGAGGGGGGAACAGGATTAGAGTCTTTATGCTATTTGCCTTGTGCTCCTGCTTTTCACCATCATTTTTCTGAAAGTTCTGTTTTGTTCACACGTGAAGTGTAACAATGCTAAACACTGGTGGAAACAGATACATGCTTCTTCAAACATGTACCTGTTCAGGTGACTTTCTTTTAGTTTTTAAGATTACACTCTTATTTTCTAAATGTGCTGTATATGTTTTTAAGTTTGGATTTTGAGAATACACTTCGAATTCGTTTATATGATTATATCACCCCTATTTTAAGTCTCTTTTCCTCCCCATCTGTTTTGAATGGTGACATCTTGAACCTCCCTGACATGCCTGCCTCGCGAGGACATCTGCTGGAAGGCTTCGGAACTAAATCCTGACATATCCGGATCGGTAATTGCAGTCTCTGACTGACGRCAGGCAGTGATTCAGCAGCAGGTTGATCAGAAAGGTACCTCTGACAGAGTTTTTGGTCCCTTCCCCTCACCTCCATCACGTCTGTCGTCAGTCGTGGGCATTCCTTCTGTTGGGACTTGTGTATGCATCTGGAGTGAGTCAGCAAAATAACTATTCATCACCTTCTCTACCGATTTGATTGCTGATATTTTACTTTGAAGTATGATTACAGAGCATGCACACTAAGGATCCAAAATTATAATCCTTGTGAATACTGCAAAGGGTTTTTTATGTTTTTTTGGTTTTTTTTCTGTGACAGTATACTACTATAAAATAGCTCTTTCCATGTTTGATTTATAAATCTAGAATAAAAGTTGATATTTTCATGAGTAAATTTTTTTTCTTAAAAGTTGAAATCTTTGAATGTGTTAAAACTAGTTAGTTTATCTGATTTAAAATACTTATTCTGCTTTGGTTTTTTAGTAATATTTTCCCCTTCTCATTGTCTATATAAAAACCTTTGTAGAATGAAATACAGTGTTTCATAAATTTTTTTAAAGGCTTTTTATTCTTGTGATTTCTCAAAGACATTTCTGTCTTGAAGGGGAGTTTTATATTCATACCGGTTAAACAGTAATGTAAGATGTTCATGAATCACTCTATTTTTTTAATCAYAGTACCTCCTTTGGCAACTTTTTGTCTGTTCTGATTGACTGATCGTAGAGGTAGATGTATTTCTGCATGAAGTGCATTCCTTAAAAACAATCTTATAGGTGGAAGATTAGCTGTTTTGCAGTTGATCTAGTGAATTAATGCTCCCAGAAGAAGCAGACTGACCTCATAAACCCAGAGGYCTATGGTTTAGCAGCATGTCTTACAAATGTGATGACCAACTTGTGGTAATGCAGATTTTAATTTTTCTAAGTCTGTACAGTGATTGTAACAGTTCACAGTAACTGAATGGTTGCCTGATATTCAAAATCCTAGACAAAGGGGCTTCACTGGAAAACCAACAAAATTGAATTTCAATTTGTCTTTTGTTTTCAAATTCAATACAGCTTGAAGAATAACATAATAATGTTATAGAGGGATCCAGTCCTTACTTTAGTTATATTCTGGTTTAAATTATATGTGGGAACTGTCATCATGTATTTGTTGATTTGTTGTTTTTCTCCCYTCCCCTCCTKTTCAGCAGTGGTACTCTGAAGCTGAACATGGTTTGTTCAACCATGGGCCATTCTGAGTCTTGGTTTTAAAAGCCAGTTGCTGCCCAAATAATCTTGTGTTAGGGACTGACTTGAAATGAAGTAGTACACTTCAACACACTTTCAAATATTCTTAGGCCCAAAATATGAATGAAATGTTTTAGACAGATGCATGTAGATTTAGTTCACTTAAACTAGAGCTGTCCTAGTTTTCAGAATTCATTTCAGTCAGGGCTCCCTGGTTTTGATTGCCTGCCTGCAAAGATGTTGCAGTTTGACATCTGAATGCACTGCYTGGGCACCCAAAAGGCTCATGAGATTAAGTGAGCTATTTAAACCTGTGGATATCTAGATTAATTATGAGTTGTTGCAGCAATTCAGTTCCATCACCAGAAGGCAACTGTCTGTTAACATTCAATGATACTATTTGAAAGTTGAAGAAGGTGAAAGAGAGAAGACTAAGTGAAAGCAGAACAGAGATTAGCAGGTGACATGGAGGAAAAGAAGAATTACCTGTAAGCTATGGAGGGAAAGGGAGGGGGTATAAAAAAAGCTTAATGGGAAAGGAAATTAGGATAGCTGTCAGTTTTGATCAAACAATATTTTTAAAAAACCCAAACCAAACCAGTAATTACTCATTGGTATTCAACTTTTTTTTTTTCCTGAGAAATTTCTTAAAGGTCATTCTAGGAAAAAACAAGGGTCAGACTGTTGAGAGAAAATAACTGTAGGAAGATGGTAAGGAAAATGTGAGGAGTTAGTTTGTCCTCAAGCTCCTCTTCCTTAATATCTTTTTCTATTTCTGTTTTGAAAATACATCTGTAAATATAAAAACATGTGAAGTTTTTGTTCCTTTGAAGTTGAAAAGACTCCAAGGACGTTGACCATGCTAAAAATGGCATTTGCTTTAGAATTTTGAACTTCCATGCTGTTAATCATTTCAGCATTCTGTATTTCCGTACCAGAAGTGCTGCTGCATTGGGAAAATGAATGGTGTAGTATGGTTCCATGTTTTTTAGTGATGCCTTCATTAAATTTGCTCTCCCTTTAGTGAAGTGTTATCCTAAGGAGTAGTCTCACCAATTTAACATGAATCCTGGAATTCAGTTTCTGTGACTAGTGTGCAAATAGAAATTAAGACTACAGACTAGATAAAGTTTGTGGTTTGAAAACTGGAAACATGTGTTCCACATAGATATATTTACTTTGCAATATATAATGAAGTCATTTCCACTGGCAGCAAAACATTAATGACAGTGTTATCGTGATGTATTTTATGCACTTCCCAACTTTAGCTATATTGCCATCTGAAAACCTGGAAAAATAAAACTAAATTTAATCCAAACCCAAGGCTGGTAACAGCTTCTGGAACTTACCTGTGTATATTTAGATGTAATTACAGAAAGGACACAAAGAGGCTGCCTTAAAACAATTTGGTTGAATCATCTGTGATGTGAGGGGAACTCTTGTAGCCCTTCTTTAGCTCCTCTTGAAAGCACCGTATAAAACTGAGCAAAGCAGGCTCAAAAGTGACTCCCTTTGGAGTTGTGCTCTGTAGTCTGTCCATGCAGGGATCGACTGCCCRGGCACTGCCAGCTCAGAGGTGAAAATGAGCTGGACTGCTTAGAGGTTGTACTTGCAAGGGAATGAACTTTACAGAATGGGGAGAAGTTCAGCCGAGGTGTTGGCCCTGCRGTTACAGCAGCGCTCGTGTGAAGCCTCTGAGTGATTCTTGTCACATCTGTGTCACTAAGCATGAGGGCTTTGGTCGCAAAAGTGTTAA